TCGATAAAAAAATTAGGTAATACATCACTATGGGGAAGCGGCGGTGGAATATAGATTCGATTTACAGGCCCAAATATAAATTAGGCAAAACGGAGGCTCTTTATCTGAATCCTTTTTCATTTAGTTTTGTCAAACTCCAAAAATTGGTTAAGTTGCTCCAATTTTGGATGCCAACTCAGTCTAGAGTTAAATGTATATGTCGGGTGTGTACAAACTTAGATGTGAGTAGTCTGGTAGTCTCGAAACCCTACTTTAATATGAATAAAGTGGCTTAATCGGCACGCCAAGTTGGATTTGATGCCGGATCGTGATTATTCTGGCGGAGACACCACTTTGCTGCATAGTCAGCGTAGTGAGATGGTTGATTAGTGGTAATGTGTAGTTAAGTGGTAACGCAACCAGGCTACTCACGACCCGGTATCGAATCCGCCTGAGGTGATGATGAAACCAATTGTGGTGAGGTCAAAAGTGCAGTTCAGTCCAGTCTAGCCGGGATGAGATCGCACTATGAGAGGCAGGCTCAGGCAAACTTCGATAATATCGTGAGACTTACTCATTTGGTTGTGGGAAAACTAAATTGTCCCCACCTAGTTCGTCTTAAACAGCCTAGGCTGACTAAGTTCTAACTCAAGGATAGGTACAGTGCAAAAGATGGTAATGGATGAGACGGTCAAAATGATGAGTAGAATTTTTAACCTGGCTATCATAAATTTTGGCCTTCTCAAGACTGGGTTGGCTGAAGGAAGAGTTCTGTGCAATCAGCGCCTCTACCTCGTGGGCCTCGATCTTGCGCGACAGCCTGGCACGTACCGAGGCCACCGCGGGCTGTGGTGCACTCGAAGCGGCGGCCGTGGCGACAGCAGCAGAGCCGCGGTTCAGACTGCGTCCAGTGGCAAGACAACCGATCGGGACGAAGGCGGCCGACTGAGATCGACCACCGCAAGAAGAGGAGTGGGTGGACGAGGTCGAGGAGTGCGGAGCGTCCGACGCCTCGGCTGGAAGAAAACAGGACAGAATGAAGAGAACAAGTAGTTTGGCTGAGAACTCTCGTTGGCAGTCGATCAGTCAAAACGCTCGGAGTCCAATAGACCATCATGCCTAATCCGACGAGTAAACGGCCTCCAACCTCTAAAAGAGGCAATCAAGGTCTTGGTAATTGACGCAATTAACGCCCAAATTCCCAACCTCAATACAACCAAT